CAGCACGACTCAATGGACCTGACCATACTGAAGGGCATGACCACACAGCTCAACAGGAAGTCTGTGGTGGCCATGGAGAGAATGAGGAAGTTGGTTGGGGAGTGGAGCTGCTTGAAGTGGGCAATAGAGATGATCACAACCACATTTCCCAGCATGGTCATCACTATTGCTCCTATCATGACAAGGTACATGGTGCAGACGACCAGCATGGGCCTCAGCTTCCTAGGGCAGGAATTGTTTGCCCCAGCAAAGCAGAACTGTACTTCTGGGGGGTTCCAGAGCTCGGATGCATTCATTGTCTTTGCCTTCTGGGTAGTATGAGTCCTTTCTAAAAGAGCTGTGTTCCTTTCTGTGGAAGGAAGAGAAGAAGTATAAATCCTCTGAAAGGGTGATTGCCCCTTGAATCTTAGGTGGTTTGCAAGTCTGGAACATGTTGGAAGTCCTTTCTGAGCAGGAACGTTTTTCCCCAAAGTTCATGAGCAGATGAATCACCTATGGGTCTTTCTCAAGCTTGAACTCTGACTCTGAGATGGGAGGCTGCAAGTTTGCATCCTCACAACCTCTCCAGAGAGGACAGCACTGTTAGTCTGAGGCCACAGCTTGAGTAGGAAGGCAACTGAAAAAAACCTGGGTTGATATTGTTATTAAATGTCAATACTTCCAGGCAGAAGCACATGCCATCTTGTTAATTTGTAGCTTTGACTCCATAAACTGATCAAGAATTCTTCCTGCCCAGCTCTATTTCAAATTTCCTCATTTATAACCACCAGGAATGATCATGAGCAGTGGACTTGCTGATTAGATTAAATGGTTAGATTAAATTAGATTAATTTCAATCTGAAGCTGTACTTCTTCTTTTATAAAACAATCGTTTCTGTGAACCGCCACAAATGCTGCTGCCTCTGCTACTGCCACATAGAAGCATTGCCCTTTGCAATGGGAAGAAAAGTCTGCAGAATTTAGACTGAAAGCATGGCCAAGTTTACAAGATGGTGCATGAATAATGCTCAAAACGACTGAAATGGCAGACTCCGTAAAGATCAGGGGCTCTCATTTCTTTTAGCATCTGCATTCAGGAAGTAGATTTGTGGTCAAAGACTTAGACAGATTCAGAGTTTCATACTGCTATCCAAGTTGATATACAGGTGCATATTATTTAACCTGTCATTCTGTAACATTAATTAGCTAAAAACAATGGAGCTGACTCACCCAGGCTTTGACACAGGTTTGTTTTTTCTGTGCTGAGTCTGAACAGTCTTTCTGATGGCCAATGGCAAGCATTTGTGAGATCAAGTGCCAGATGGGAGAAATGGACTTTGGGCTGAGGACAGACTAAAGCTCATTGACCCCTGAGGAATGGGAGGACACAATGCATCCTGAAGCACATGTACAGAAGAAGACAGTAGGGAGACTAGCACCATTGATAACAGTATTTCCATCATCAGCTGTGAAACCTCAATAACTGTTTCCAGTGTCTGTGCAAGATCTGACATCTTAACACTATAGGACATTTTATTGGCTTTGAATATAGAAATTTAATTTTTAAAGTTGGTATATTTTCTTTTTTATTGCATCAACTAATACTGCAATGAAAGTGAAATGGAGAACTTAAGAAGTCAACTATCAGAAAGACAAACATTTCAAAGGCTCCCCCACAATACATATCCACAGCACAGATTATTAGCTATGTATCATTTTGGGTCCTAAGCTAGGAGACTAAAAATAATGAAATCCTAGACAACTGATTACCTCATTTAACAAATTAATTTTAAAGCTAACATTAAAAAAATAACCAAAGATCACCACAAAATTACTCAGCTATTTACCATGACTGCTCATTACAAACATTTCATTCCACAAACACAACTGTACAATCTCTAATATGTTACTGTATGCTTATTAAAGTTTTAATTTTCACCTAACGATTCAGAAAAATTGAACTTACCCTGAGTTTTTAAAGTATATGTTTGGAAGAGGAGCTGGCGCCCCAAGCCAAGGCTGCAAGCGTGCTATGCAAGTAAGCTAACAGTGAGGGACACCAGCCTTGGCTTTCTTAAAACATGGGAGGAAATACTCCTAGAAATTGCCAGTGTCTTCTCTCATCCCTGTTGCATACTTGCGTGTACTGGGGACATATTTAAAGTTAGATTAAGACAACCTAGAATAAAATATAGTTACATGTACTTGATAGGTAGTTAAACAGTTAAACATTAGCTGGAGATAGGAGCTAGGTAAAACACACAGGGTATATTAAAATATGCTGGAAGAATAGCTCAGGTGATGGTAAAGATGCTTTAATCCTTCTCCTGAGCTCCTGACCAACTACTGCATACACCAGCCTGACTGCCGGTCTAGTTAGTGCTTAGTTGTAAGGGAAGTGAATGGAGATCAATTTTGGTTGCAGTTTTAAAGCTTGACATGCTCAACACACACACACACACACACACACACACACACACACACACACATTTTATTTCAGAGCTTTATCCCCTCAAATGAAAAATAAAAGCTTATAGCAATTTTTTAACATAATGAAATGTGAAATTCTTCAGAGCATCTGTCTTTGATAATAGGAAGTTATTGTCTTGCTTTTTTTTTTAACTCATAACATTTCCTCCAAACTTGAGCAATGGAGGGGGAATAAATTAATTACTGTTTGCTCACCATCATTCAAGAAAGTATGGGAAATTTTTGGCTCTTTCTTTAGGAAGTGAGAAGGAAGATTTTTCTAATCATTCTGGGGAAGAGAAAGAATTGCAGCTTCTTGCTTCAAAGTTAACTCCCTGAGGGAGAAGTTGACACACTAATGAAGCAGACACAGGATCTGTGGGATACTGATTCTGAAAATGCAAGCTGGCCGTGGCGTGCACACCTGTAATCCCAGCATTCTGGAGGCTGACGCAGGACTACAAACTGGAGGCCAGCCTAGGCAACATAGCCAGACCCTGTCTCTAAAAGGCAGAAAGGAAACTCCGTATTACTTCAAGCTGGAAGTAAAAGCGGGACAGGACTTAATGTGCTAACTTTCCCCAGATATTAAATATCTAAGGTATCAGTGTATATGTATTTCTCTCAGTTTGACAGGTGGTATTCCAGAACTCGATGATATAAATACATGGAAAAATCTAAAAGACACATCGAATCAGCTTTACCAGACACATATTTTATATTAACTCTTAGAGATCGCAAACATCCCTCTTTGGGGACTATCTGCAAAAAATTTCTCCTTACCTCAGCACATCTCACTCATTCTGCAGCTCCCTAGGTAAAGGAGCAGGCAGGGTACCAAATCTGCTGTGGGGTCCCTCTCCCTGCCTCTTTAGGATGATAGTGGGGTTTTTTCTACTGTCCCAACATTTTCAGTGTGTGTCTCCTCGCCAGACCAATAATAACAAAACCAACTTGAGTTTTTTTCTGTCTCATGGTGCAATCTCCATTATTTTACCGGGTTTAGTTTCCTGGTAGGTAACTTAGAGCAAATGTTCCTGAACCAAGAGCAGCTCCTGTTCCAGTCTCTTACCAGGCAAGTGAGCATGAGTCTTCCCTCAGTTCTGTACTCCTCTCTCCTTTCCCCCTCTGTAGCAGGCTCATAGGACACAGGCTCCTGGTCCTGAGGGAGGTCCCTAGCAGGCTGCTCCATCCTCTGTATTTAAGCATTAAATGTGCCTCTTGAGGCTGCATGTCCTGTATCCTGCAGTTTGCACCATCTTCACTGGGCTAGCAGTTGAGAGCACAGAAAGCCACCAGAGAATGGGCTCCAGAGAGTGAACTAGCTTTGTGATCCTGAGGCTGTGGCCTCAGAGACAGCTCAGCTCAGTCCTGAAAGAGGTCAAAGGTGGGGAAAATGGGACATGTGAAATGGGGAAAGAAGGAGCAGAGAAAGGGCGGATATAGGAGAAGAAAATGTAATCCATCCAATGCTCACCTTATGTCTCGCCAGATACCCGGATGCCAGGTTATTTCTTCTTTTAAAGATTTATTTTAATTTATTGGTTTATTTTAAATAAAATCATATTTTATTATTCATTTTAGTTTAATATTTTTATCATTTAAATTATTTTATCATTTCTCTTTATTCTCTATCATGTGTCTAGGTGAGGGTAAGGGAAGAGGGTCATGCACACTGAGCGCAGCTGCCCCCAGAGGCCACAGACATGGAGTCCCCTGGAGCTGGAGTCACAGGTGGTGTTGAGCATACTGACGTGGGGGCTGGCGAAAGAATTCAGGTGCCTGAGTGGTAGGGCAAATGCTACCCTAATGAATGTTATTCATAGTGATCTTATTATTATTATATTAATAATATTTACATCATTAATATTATTATATTAACAACAAATAACATTGACAGTATATTATTATATTAATAATAATTATATTAATACCATTATGTTATTATTATATTATTTATTTTTATTCACAGTGATCATATTAGCTTTTCTGTAGCATATTCCATTGTAGTGGATCCATGTTTCCTATGTGGCTGATGCAGGCCAGGTCCTGGGAAAGCCTTTAGGCTCAGTTCCACCTCATGAGGATTGTATTGATGGGACCCTGCAAACAGATAGGAGTCTAAAATCATGCCTCTTATAGAA